AATTTAATTCAATTAACCAATTTAGCCAAATTATAGCATAAACACATATAACGATCCAAACCATTAAATCTATTCTAAATGCTATTAACTTCATAGTACGGACCTGGATTACGCCGAAATCGAATCGATAGCTCGAACGGAAGGCAAATCAACGAAATCAAACGAACGGGTCAAATCGAGTCAAAATGCGAAATCGACCAATCAATCCGGCGTGGAGGTTAATCTGCCGGCGATATCAACTCGGGGCATCGGCCAGATGCGGCGACGGTGACGGACACCGGCGACAGTGGCGGAGCGGCAGTTCGACGGCGATGAGCAGCGACTGGCGGTGCTGAAATCGACGGCGGCGCTGCACTCGACGGCGGCGGATGGCCGCTGTGCAAAGGGCGACGCTGAGCGGCGGCTACTGGCGAAGGAAACAGCGGCGGAGCTGCAATCGACGGCGGTGATGAGCGGCGACGCCGGCGGCTGGCTCCTCCAGTTGGACGGCGACGACCGGCGGCTGGCTCACGGCGGCGCTGCACCAATCGGCGATGATGGCGGCGAGGCTTGGGAAGGCGATTGGCTGCGGCGATGATGGCGGCGAGGCTGGGGAAGGCGACGGCGGCTCCAATTGGACGGCGAACGACCGGCTGGGGAACTTCCGGCGGCGATCGATTGGCAAAGAAGAAGAAGAAGGAGAAGAAGAAGAAGAAGAAGAAGAAGAAGAAAAAAGAAGGAGAACGGACGAAGAAGGATAAGGTTTCTACGGCTGAAATTAGTTTAGGTTTATTTAATGGTCCCATTCCAAAAAGGATTGGGTTTCGGACCCAAAATACCTGATTAAATGGTCATAACTTGAGTTCCATAACTCCGATTCGCGAGCCGTCTGAACCGACGCGATCACAAAAATATTTCCTACGAGATGACATAAAAGTTGGGCTTAAAATCCAAATTATAATTTTAACCCCTTTTTAGGCCCAATTCGTAATCAATTGCTCTAACAATTTAATTAATTCTTTTGGGCCAGATTTCGGGGCGTTACATTTCTCCCCCCCCCCCCTTAAAAAGAATTTCGTCCTCGAAATTACCTGAGTCATTGGTCGTCGAAGAGATGAGGGTACTGAGTTCGCATAGATTCTTCGGTCTCCTAGGTTGCTTCTTCCACCGCATGATTACGCCATAGTACCTTTACCAAAGGTACCGTCTTGTTTCTTAACACTTTAGTTTCGCGCGCCAAGAACTTAACTGGTTCTTCTTCGTAAGACAAACTCTCGTCGAGGGTTACAGCATTGGTCGGCAACACATGAGTCGGATCTGAACGGTATCTACGTAGCATGGAGACATGAAAGACGTTGTGAATCCTGTTCAGCTCTGGTGGCAACTCTAGCTTGTAAGCAACAGGTCCTATTCGCTCCAGAATGCGGTAGGGTCCAATGAATCTAGGGCTAAGCTTCCCTTTCTTACCGAACCGTAGGACCTTCTTCCATGGTGAAACCTTCAAGATTACCATGTCACCAACATTGTACTCTATGTCTCGTCTCTTTAAGTCTGCATATGATTTCTGTCTGTCCGAAGCAGTGCGGAGTCGGTCTCGGATCACACGAACCTTCTCCTCGGTTTCCTGCACAATATCTGGTCCCTCGAGCTTACGCTCGCTAAGCTCTGTCCAACAAATCGGGGTTCGGCACTTTCTACCGTAGAGTGCCTCATACGGAGCCATCTGAATACTCGCCTGGTAACTGTTATTATATGCAAACTCCATCAACGGCAAGTAACGCTCCCAATCTTCTCCAAAGTCGATCACACAGGCTCGCATTATATCCTTGACAATCTGTATCACCCTCTCAGACTGGCCATCGGTCTGAGGGTGAAATGCCGTACTAAGGTTCAAAGTTGTGCCAAAAGCCTTCTGAAGTCCTCTCCAGAACTTCGAAGTGAACCGGGGATCTCTATCAGATATGATTGACAGCGGTGCACCGTGCAACCGAACTATCTCTCTAACGTATAAGTCTGCCAATTTGTCCAAGGAAGAGTCACGTCTGACGGGTAGAAAATGAGCGGACTTCGTCAACCTGTCAACAATGACCCTGATGGCGTCATTCTTTCGTGAAGATCGTGGCAATCCTATCACAAAGTCCATAGTGATCCTTTCCCACTTCCATTCCGGAATGGTAGGAGGGTGCAGCAACCCTGTCGGAACCTGGTGCTCAGCCTTGACTTGCTGACAAGTCAAACAGCGCGCAGTGAACTCGGAGATTTCCTTTTTCATAGCCGGCCACCAATAGGATTTCTTCAAATCCTGATACATCTTGTTACTACCCGGGTGCATAGTGTA